TCTATATGTATCACTATAACTACATAGTATAAAACAAAGACGCTATTCGCCGTCTGTCTGTACCTATGTATGCTTCTATATTTAAAACTACGCAACGGATTTTGAGGTGGTTTTTTTTAAACAGTTTTGCGTTTGGTGACTCTTTCTGCGATTATTGTAGGAGCCGATAAAGGGTCTGCATATTTGATAGAGGCTAGTAGCAGTATAGCTCCAGTGGTGTACCTATGGGGTCGCAATTCGGTAAATTGCCATGGCCCCCAGCTGGAAGGAGCCCTGTTCAGAGGTTTTTATTTGAACTTCTCTGTTTTATTGGGAACGGGGGCCTGTCAAATAAATTTGCCACGGGTCCCAAACGATATAGTTAGCCTAGCCTCTGAGTAGTCACTCTTTGACATAGCAGAATGTAGGTATATCTTGTAATCTCCATTTAGTCATCATCTGTTGAGAAGTTGTAGTCTAGCAGTGGTTTAGTCAAGATCTGTTGATGAAGTTGTAGCAGTTAAGTAGTACCTAGTGTCTATGTTCAGACTTCAGAGCTTAGTAACAATGCTAACTGCTTGTCTCAATGTTTTTGAATCATGGTTAATACTGACGAACAGTTAAGTAGGCACAAGTAGGTACATTACAATATGTTTTTAAATTCTGATGCGTTTATTTTATTCAAGAACTTTTGTTTTTAAGTAACGATAACACGTTGACCACTGTCCGCTTTATATCTAGTTTGTGTAAGTTATTGTGACGCAGGAATTAATAAAAATTATGCAAGTTTTAGGTATTTTATGGTTGACATGGTTTGTCATAAATAAGATAAGACAAATGTTCCAAATATGTGCTTGATATCCAAATATGACTGCCTCGTTGGCCGAGTAGTCGCAAGTACGACTGCAGGGCAAGGGGTCTCAGGTTCGATTCATGGGTTAGGCAAAGTAGGTACCTATTACATAGTTTTTAAAAATTCTCAGTAGTACCACGGAGTTTGCAATTGTGCCCAGTATGTGGTAATAGGCTCCAATTACATAGGACTCGTAACATAAATAGTGAAAAGTAGGTGTTATATTGTACAGTGGCATTAAATGCCTTAATGTGCACCTTTGCCCACCCCTTTGGGGATAAAAAGGCATGACGTTATGTTATTGTTATGTTTTGATATAAGTATGATGATGAGTACAAGTACATATTTACGAGGGTATAATGTCCAAATACCCAAACGTTACTCAATTTTAAGTGGCGCTTAACCGCTTGACTACGGGTATAGTATAAGATACAATAGATAATGTATTGTGTCTCGCGTAGATCTACGTTCCGACAAGACGGGTTAAGTGTAGTTCTGTCACTACAAATTCTTTGAAAAATGACAGAGAGAAATGGCCCCATAGACCGAAATACATAACCGCGTTAAGTCGCCGCAACGCTAAAATCGGCAGTTTGCGTTGCGGTGTGTTGCGGCGTTGTGAAAAAGAGCGTTTTGTTATGCCGGGGCCACACTAACGTTAACGTCAATGGCGATTATCGCGATGTTTACTACGATAATTATTGCGATAATTTTAACGCGATAAAGAGGGTGGCTACATTTGAAATTTCAACGTGAATGGCCATCATGCCAAACGGCAATGTGAATACCGTTGTCAAATTATCGCGTTGACTTGTGGCTACACCTACGGTGAACGTGCATTATCGCGATAAGCAATGGCATTTCTCGTTGGTGTAACCCGGGCATTAAAGTAACAAATAAGCAATAAGTTTTTCACGATGGTCCATGGCAATTGGCAGTGACACGTATATCCACAATAAAAAATCACAACGAACTGGTTACCCTACCGAAAGACAACAAAACGCTCTTTTTCACGACGCCGCAACGCCGCAACGCAACGCGGCTATGTGTTTCGGACCTATATTTAAATACACCCTTAAATTAAATAACTTTTCAGTATTCGAGCGTAAATAAGGTGTGATAGATGTTGATCTCATACAGTACACTGTCGTATTATTACATCATTGGCTTATAATTAGTTAGTACTATGATTTAGTCACATAATCAATGACAATGCACAATGATATACAAAACAATAATATTTCTACCATCATTGTTTACACTTCCTGCGTTTCAGGATATGTGAAGTCGCAATGTATCAATGGATTACTTATTCCGTTTACAGTTGGAATACAAAGAATTACCAGTATTTTATTGTTATGACTATTAAATATGTACTTAATTAACAACAACATAGAGATGTTTTTTTGAAAATTCTCAGTTCGAAGTCCGCACATAGTTTTATATTATAATGGAATACGATTAATATTAGTTCGTTAACACATTTCAAAGATTAAATGGTATCATGTTATATTATGTATACTTAATTATAAAGTTAAAGACATTGTATTTGTTCGAACGCGCTAATCTTCAGAACTGCTGATTGGAATTGAATAGTTAATTGTTTTTGTGTTGGACTATCATCCATGTATCGATGAAGTCTATCCTACTAATATTATAAATGCGAAAGTTGTTTGTTTACCTACTTGACATTAAAACGGCTGAACAGTGTTAAACAGTTACTGTTGAATTCAATTCCGATCGATCGACATTGGTATTGTGAAATCTCGTACTCTAGAGTTGCAACACTAGCGTCCATTGCATCCATATTGCGTGGATATTGAATGAACTAAATGGTATTGAGTTTGGGTTTATATTCCGTACTCTGAATTATATTTTAACGGCTACAATAGGGGTTGTATAGTTTTGACATTGGATAATTATTGAGATTTTATTGGATCCAAATTGCATTGTCATTGAGATTAGTTTCAAGAGTAAGCACCCTGAAGAGATCGGGATGAAAGGAACAGGGGCCGATGATGGTCTGGAATACCACATAGGCTACGGGAACGCGAATGAAACCAAACTCAACTGAAACTCAAAAGCATTTATTTCAATATTAGTCTGTCAGCCTGTCCGTCAGTGAAGCTAGGTGGTCGTTCCAAAAAGTAGAATCGAGTGGAGAAGAACGAGCAACAAACGCCACGCTTTTAACTCGTCGAGTACCGTCATTATAGACACAAATAAAGAACAATAGGTTGCGGTTACCGGTGACTGCTTGGTGTTTGACAGTTTAAAAAGTAGTATGTTTTACAATCTCTCTGATACTTACATATTCGAATATTGTACATATATGTGAGAAGTTGAGAACAATGGAAAGACACGCTTGACGAAGTTCTGCCGCTGACAGAAGCTAGTAGGTTACAAAACATCACGCTGGGATCAACAGGGGTGTAACTGCGTGAGAACAACAATAACGTAACTCGTAAGAAAGTTTTAAAGACTTCAGAGGCCTTAGTACAAGTTTGTTTTACGTTTAAAGTATCGAAACGAGTAAGTAAGCGTTCGGCGCTCTGATTGGTTGGTTTATTGGTGCTGGAAAAAAAGCGAATATTGAAGTGAATACTATTACTTAGACTGAAGTCAAATCAAATAGGGTAGTATCATACATTTTATTTAAATGTACGTCTGGTAGATTATTTTCCACGCATTATTTCTTTTCTTACAAAATTAAATATTTTCGACAACACATATATTGATTTGAAATATCGTGTGACGCCACGATTTACTACATTTGTTAAGGTTTTTTTTTAAGGGAGGGAAATCATCGAATGACTGCTCCCGCCTGGGTGAGGCGGGCGGGAGTGTCAGACTCTTACTGACTAAAAACCCCCCCGTTCCTTCTCCTGCACGTCGAGCCGGAGCCCCGGTTACCCGTTAGGTTCTCCGCGACACATTTATGAGGGTAACGTGACGTAACGACCTCCACGTCCTAAACTTAATTTTATTGTTGTTGTACCTACTGTTTTCTTATACGACAAAATAAAAAAATGTGTATAATATTTTTTCATTACCTAACTGACGGACTAATTACATTTTTAATTTTCATAAACTGTCTACTATCCTATTCTTCCGTCAGATATTTCTTCAAGGTTGTTATTGCGAGTTAAGTTAAACAATAAACATTTTAAACATGTTGTTTTTTATTCTGATGCAATGTTCTTAATATGTCTGAAACTGGAGTGACGATCGGATGACTAGGTTTTATATCTCAGTATTTGTGTAAAAATTAACATAATTGTGTAATTAATAATTGTGAGGATTTTTTATTCGTGTAAACCTTTTCTTCAGCGCCTCGACAAATACGACCAATGGGTCGTATTGATATAATAAAATATAAAAATAATAAAATAAAATAAATTTATTTCAGACATACTGGGTCCATACATTTACAGTTTAATATTATGAAATATATATAATTCTTAATTAATTTAATTTAATTTAATTTATTTAATTTAATTTATTACATTATAACACCGCACTATCAATCATTGTTATTTTTTTTTATATTGTCAATTTAATTAATGTCAATTTAGGTAAAGAAATATCATCACATTTTTTTTTTACAACAGCAGAATTAACTTAAGTATTGATAGATATGACTTTAAGAGTCTTATAGAGTCCTTGTTCATATTTAGGTTCCGTGAAAGAAAAACAGATAATTTTTTTATTCTTTCTACGAACTTAATTTATTTCGTCGTCGTTAACCGTTACGTAACTTGTTACCCTCTCGTTAGTCGGCATTGGCAATTTTTTTCTCTGCCTATCATGAGATGTCTTGGCACAATCCTAGAAGCAGGAGGAAGATATTCCCAGTATTTTTTTTTAAACCTTGCCCCATACTAGGACTTTCTCCTGTATCGTGGGTGCGTTGACAAACATACAAGTTCACATACACATGAGACCCAGACCCGGAACAACAATCTGTGGATCATACAAAAAGTTACTGCGTGCGGGAATCGAACTCGCGACACGTTGCGCAGTAGCCAGTTGCCTAACCACCGCACCAACCGTGCAGTCAGTATTATTTTACACATGCAAAAATGTACCTGACATGGTCCAGCCGTTTCGGAGTTTGACGCAAACGTATTAACCGATTCACTTACGTTACGTATCTCCTATTTTCCAGTACACAATGGCAGAGCGTCAAATGTCAGATCGTCTGGAGTATTTGATGGAAGACCCTCCTCTGACGAGGTCCCTGGGGTTCGCGATACGGAAGAGGTTTGACAAGACCTTGGAAGATGCTCGTCTCAACCAGGAGTACATGTATCGATACCAGGAGATGCTGAAGGCTAGCCAGGAGTCTTTCGAAAACTTTGAAAGCAGAGATGAACGTCGACTAAGAAGAGTGGTAGGAGATCACAATTATCAAGTCATGAGAGAAGGTTTGTGCGTTATATATGTACTTATTGTATATATTTTTTAAAACGTTGCCCCACAATATGATTTTCTCTTGTGACCTGGGTGCGTTTACAAACATACAAGTTCACAATATACACAATGACACCCAGACCCGCAACAACAATTTGTGGAGCACACAATTTTTTTTTTTTAATTATATATTTATTCTTTTATGTACATACACAATTTGATTATGGCCCATAAGGCGAACTTAAAGCCTTATGGCATTCTCTACTAGTCAACCTTAGGGTTTAAGTAGAAAATCTGCGAAAAATAAGATACAAAGTCAAAGTCAAAGTCAAAGATCTTTATTGTGAGACAGTGGTTACAAAGGTTGTTCTAGAGGTTATTGTGTTCTGGCACTGCTCCACCATGTTAGGCATACAATAGTTTGTGACAAACGTATAAATTGCAGTAGCTGTACATTATAATATTAAACACTGATTGAACAAAGAAACTTGTATTAATTTCATTTTGCATCAAAACATAAAATGGCGTTTCAACTGTTAACGAATCTGTCAGACAAAAATTCATGTAATGTAAGATACGGAGAATAAACGAACAGCAAAGAGAGAGAGAGGAAAAAAATGGTTATTATTAACACGTTAAACGCCATGGCAGTCACTGGTGACCGACATTAGCGGAGGATTTGCCTTCAACAGTTTTTTATTGGCAGCCAATGCCTTAAATAATATAACTACACATATAATATATGTGTAATGTACATATTATGTATATTACATAATAGTAAATTTATAATATAGTCATATGCATAAAATATATATCGACGAAGACAGAAACCTAGCGTTGCATTTTTCTACTTTTTTGTCTTTAAGCTTTTTATGGAAGGGTACCGTCAGCCAGTTCCCGGACTTTTAATCATTAAAGCCATTAGCATTAATGATTAAAAGCCTGCGTATTTAATTATCATAGATACTGTTTTACTCCTATTGAATAATTTATAGCAAAACTCGGAACTGATACGTAAATGTTATGAAAGGAGCGATAATGTAATAAGGTAAATACAAAGCGTAAATATGTACTCACATACACAAGTCATACATAGGAATCTAGTACAAACTAGATCATTACCTACTGTATTGTACACATACACACGGGATATTGTCATTGAATAAGTAAATATCGAATTTGTGTGCAAAGGCAACTCGCTAATAAGATTGTGGCATAATTTTAAATAATTAAATTACGTGGTCAAATAATGCTCTATTGTATAACAAATAATTCGTGATAATTTCATTACTTACGTAAAATGGAAATATTTTTACTTCTTAGTATCTACACTATGGTTTGTTCATATAATATGTATTTGATTTGACAAGTGGCTGCACTGCAACTACTGAGCATAATCGCTTAAGTACTTAGTAAGGCAGGCAGACTGCTGTACCATAAAAACAATTTTTCGGGTTTGATCATCATGAATTCTTAGCATTTTTTAGATTCTTTCTATTTATCAATGGGTCTGATATCGTATCTGTTTGTTGGCAAATTATTAACAAAATTACAACAAGATTTAGAAGTGTAACAATTGGAAAGTGCACTTAGAACCACTGTTTCGGATATTGCACATAATGCTTTTTTTCATTTATTGGTACCACATACAAGTTTACAATTGACCTTAATATACCTTTAACTAATTAAATACAATTTTACATATTGCAAACTTGACATCAATGGTCCTTAAAATATTAATGATTTACAAAATGATGAACCTGTACCGGCAATATAATCATAAAAAAATGTGGAACGGTTCACGATTTTGCGTGTCATCCTTGCACAGGGGCCATGCTAATATGCTCTGTATCGTTCCAATTTTAGTACATGTACTGCTGAACCAAGTACACTGCTTCATAGTGCATAACAAGACGTTTAAATATGGGTCAGTTGTGGTCTATGTTTACGTTCCCACACCAGTACCTACGGCAGCATTGTGTGCACGAGCCTATTCTCCTATTTACCAAAACAATGGCTTATGACCGACATATTCGTAGGTCTAGGAAATTGATAATCATTAACACAAAGCTGTGGAGACGATATATTTTGGTACTAACCTTAGCCCTCCGCGCACTAGGCAGCCTGGCTGCATAGTGAGCCAACTAGCGTCTAGTCTAATACATTTCTTCGTATCAAAGTTATCTTATCAAAGTTCGGAACGCAAAATTCGTCTGGCTGCTACAACTAGTGCGTGGAGATTGACCGCAGCCACATACATTTGCCTAGCCCAACACACGTTCTGGCTGCGCGCACCCAGCCGATTTTTTTTTAAGTGGGGTAAATCATCGAATGACTGCTCCCGCCTGGGCGAGCGCGAGGGAGTGTCAGACTCTTACTGACTAAAAACCACCCCGTTCCTTCTCCTGCACATCGAGCCGGAGCCCCGGTAACCCGTTAGGTTCTCTGCAACTCCGAATCGGCATCGGCCCTGTTGGGCCCCATCTGTAGTGGTCTGATGGCTCTTTGTGGCGCGCGCGGAACGCGACGCGCCGTACGCTCGGGTCTGTTTCTGGTCGGACTTGCCGTCCGCAGGCCCGCGCTTACGGTGTCCGGAGATCGTCCTGCGATCCCCGACGCCCGGTGTGTCCTTCGCGATGGCTGGGTTGGTAGGAGGCAGCGCTTCGCTGCCTCACGCGTCCCGCCTCCTCCTTAGCTAGTATAGCTGCTTCGCAAAAGGAAGAGACGGCATCCCTGTCCCCCTCGCGCAGCCAGCCGACTGCAGTGCAAACAAGCGGAATGTATTAGCCGCTGCAGCCGGGAATTCGTGGTTGTCTAGTGCGCGGTCTCCTATACAATGTCATATGTTTTACTGGCTGCCTATTGCGAGGGGGGCCTTACTCTGCAGGTGTCATAGGGGCTGATTTAATAAAAACATTTCAGATTCAGATTTTTCACATATCACAGATCATTTGTGCTATTACTGTTTATTGTAGTAGGTTTAGGACTGAGATCGGTTATAACTGTGATGGTGTAGTTTTATTTTACACGTAGTCCTGTTTTTTTTCATCAAGCAAAATTATATTTGATTTATTACCAATACCAATAATGCATTTCCTGTCATTCCAGCAGGAGTACTGGATCGTCGCCGCAACGCTCCTCGTTTCCAGTCCGCTATAGGCAGGCGACGGGCGCGCACACAAGCTCTGAGGCGACAGAAATTGAACAGCCAAAGTTTGAGGAGCCATCTCCAACACTCACGACAAACTACCTCCGACTATGCCGAATAATTCATTGCCATCCTAGTCAATTTCATAAGACTTGTATATCATATAGACTCTGAAACTTTGTAATATATTTTGTCCGCACACTTTCAATTCGGAATACGAATTGAAACTTTCAATTCGAATATTGGCCTACAAATATAAAAATTCGAATAATTTCAGTTTGTTTGTTACTTCTTCACGTCAAAACGGGTGAAGGCATCGAGATGAGGAACAGGGGCAGATTAGTACATGGGGAACGCGGGCGAAACCGCTGGCTGTAGCTAGTACCTACATATTTAAATGTAAACCTTCATCTTGAATCACTATTAAATAAACCGCATCAAATACGGTAATGTAAACGTAACACTATTTTACATAGGTAATTAAATTGTTTCATCAGGTGTAGTTAATTTTTAAATTTCCGTGCGTTTAGGCGTTTTTACCTTACTTATTATTGGAAGCAAGTATAACAGCTCACAAATAGGACCCAAAGTCAAATTTTCCGTGGTGCTTGGGCTTCTCCCAGTCGTGCAGCTTCTTTTGTGCCTTTAGGCTTAAGTCATCCTGTCTCCGTTGAAAAACTTGAAAAATTAACTGACTATTGAAAAATCGGACCTTAGAATTGAGTGGTATTTTTTTTATGGCATAAGCCGGTAAACGAGCAGACGGATCACCTGATGGTAAGCAATCGGCGTCGCCCATGGACACCTGGAACACTAGAGGCGTTACAAGTGCGTTACCGGCTTTTTGGGGATTAGGAGTTTGAGGATCGTTGGGGATTCAGGGATTGGGGAGATTGGGGAAGGGGAAGGTAATTGGGCCTCCGGTAACCTCACTCAAACGACGAAACACAACGCAAGCATTGCTTCATGTCGGTTTTCTGTGAGGCCGTGATATCCCTCCGGTCGAGCCGGCCCATTCGTGCCGAAGCATGGCTCTCCCACACTTTACATATTTGAGTATTTCGACATTACTTACTTATTTGTTCGTTTAGGTTATAAGTGGTATTTATGTTTGTGATATATGATTATGTAATAATATAAATTATAACTTAAGTTTGGTTAAGAAATAGGCGAATAATAAATGTACTTAATTTATCGTAGATTAAAATATTATAAGAGGGGTTGATCTGTGATTAATTTTAAGAAAACCGAGATTATCTAAATAGTATTGTTTCATACTCAAACTCAAAAGCATTTATTTCAATTAAACCATAATTTGGTACTTTTGAAACGTCAACAAATATGAAATATACAATAGTCTGTCTGTGCTAGGCGCTCGTTCCAAAATGTCGATTCGAGTGGAGAAGAACGAGCAAGAAACTCCATACGTTACTCTTTATAAAAAAAAATTTCGTATTCCTATTTACCACAAACATGAGGTTGACAATAGTTTAATAGGGCATGACATTTGCTAAGAAGGAACGAATGTGATTTTTGAGATTATAAAATAAGTTGTCCTGTGAGGGATGAAATGTCTTATCTATTATTTATTTAAATTAATAAATGGTTAAGAACGTGTGAATTTTCTCTTTTATTTTATTGTCTGCCTGAGTGGCTGGTTGGCTTGGCTGAAACAACAGATCCTATAAAAAGTTATTTCAATTGTAAAAACAGTCGTGTTATTAGTGCCTTTAATAATAATTTGAACACTAAGTGCGGGAGAGCTTGCTTCGGCACGAATGGGCCGGCTTGACCGGAGTGACACCAAGGCCTCACAGAAAACCGACGTGAAACAACATTGGCGTTGTGTTTCGTCGTGTGAGTGAGGTTACCAGAGGCCCAATTATTCCTTTCCCAAATTTCCCCAATCCCGTATCCCTAACAATCGTCAAATTCCTAATCCCCAAATGGCCTTTGGTGTTTCGGGCGGCGCCGATTGTTTACCATCAGGTGATCCGTCTGCTCGTTTAACGGCTTATCCCAAAAAATGCTATGGTCAATTTGTCAGGTCCATAGCCTTATGAGTTAGGCAAATCGTTTGCTTTTATAAATCACCAGACGTTTGTAACCATTACTTACATTAAAAGATATTATGACTTACATTTGCTTAATAACTAAAACTTATTCGCAATATACAGAGTGAAGATATTAATATTTTTTAGAAAAAAATGGGCCCAAAAGTATGCCCTGAGATGCACCTCTTTTAATATATATTGATGACTAGTAAATAAAGTAGATATGGGTGGTAAATTGCGCCTACACCTTTTATATACTCTTCATAGATTACATGTGAAATAATAAATCACGAACGTAATTTTATCAGGCGCCAATTGCTTTCAATTTGTCACTAGCTAAGGAGGAAACCAAAAAATATTGTCCATTATAGCCATGCTATGATTAGTAGTATTTCTACTATAATATACATAATAATTTTCTTTTATTTGATAGAAAATTGATGAGAATGAAATCCAAATTACAACATGCAGAATTATTTGATCAGGAAACAAAGAAAATAATAACTTCCAGGCGCTTTAATTACCTTTATTAACTTTCAAACTAGGTTGGTTAACACGATAAACGCCTTAGTACGCATCGGTGATGGATGACGTTAGGGGAGGATTTGGCTTCAACAGTTTTCCATTGGCAGACAAAAACCTGAAATTAAGTTTGTTACATGTAGTCTTCTCATGGAAGTTAACATCTATGTATACATGTAGAAATATATAAAATAGTTTTTATTGAAATTTGCTTATTAGCTGCATAAAAAAGTGTGACGGCAAGAAAGGCTCAATCTTGTGCAATCTTTAAAAATAAAAACACATTGATAAGCCCGATAGTTCTTGTTTTGATCGTTTCTTATGAGCAGTGACGTACGAAATTAGGGAGCAAAACAAAATTGGTCAACTCGATGTAGGCATTAAATTCAGAGCAAAATATTTGGAAATGATGAAAACTTTAGACCCCTATCAGTTTGATTCATACTTCCAACGAGATTATGCAAATCTATGAAGTTGAATAAAAATAATAAAAATACTATTGACATTAAAAAAGTACTTATTTTTATTAGTAAAGTTTCAAAAGTTTAATACAATACTTGTTATCGATAAAAAATAAAAGAAACTATTGTTGGCAATATAATTTAAAACACTTGAATAAACAGTTGGGTTTCAAAGTTTAAAGTCCAAGAATTAAAAAAATATTCAGACTATTCCCTCAATGAGTAACAACATACAAAGATAAAATACTTAACTTAATAAAATCATGACACGAGTTCTAAAAGATAAGTAAATTGCTAAAAAAAACGTTTATTTGATAAGACTTTATTATTAGTAGCTAATACAATTACGCAAGCAAAACTCAAAAGTATTCCAATAAATTCGAAAAAATACTAGATCGATGGGAAATTTCGAGAAAACCTTATCGTGATAATTACATTTGGGATAAGACTTCTAGTTTTTGAGAAAATCGAAGAAAACCCCAGGAACAAGGGGATTAAATCTACGATGGAAAGTGATTTGATGTATTACTTAAGTCGGCATTTTATTACTTTTATCTTGCTGTAGGTGTATATTGCATGGACGCAAAAATACGCGATGATTACGATTTATTCTAGGTCGTTGGAGTTTATCAGCTGACGTTTTCGTAATAAGAAAAGTTTCTTCACAAACTTCACTTTCAAAGTATACCATCCGATGCAAGGTTTTTGGTAGAGCTTATCGTGAAAAACTGCACTCAAGTGCATTTAATAGTTTAGGATTTATGGGAGAAAATGTGGTGGAACAAAATTGGGGATTATTTGATTGTGGCAAGATAATATAGCGTTATAAAGCAAACATTATTTGTAATCTTGATTCCTATCAGCACAGACAAGTTGTTGACTGCTGATAAAACGTTTCATTTAGATGATACATTGGAACCTTTACCGAGTTTACATTGTTTTCATTTTGTTGGGAACTATTTCCATTATACTGGTTATCCATAAAAATATACATATTTAGAGGATGCATTAATTTATAAAAAGAAAATGTAAGGCATTTTTTTTCTTTTTTATGGCATATGCCGTAAACGAGTAGACGGATCACCTGATGGTAAGCAATCGGTGGTATCGCCCATGGACACATGGAACACTAGAAGCGTTACAAGTGCGTTATCGGCCTTTTGGGGAAAAGAAGTTTGAGGATTGTTGGGGATTCGGGGATTGGGGAGATTGGGGAAGGGGAGAGGGAGCTGGGCCTCCGGTAACCACACTCACACGACGAAACACAACGCAAGCTGCAGTTGCTTCACGTCGGTTTTCTGTGAGGCCCTGGTATCACTCCGGTCGAGCCAGCTCATTCGTGCCGAAGCATGGCTCTCCCACACTTGCTTCCTCAGTTCAATAATTGCTTCCATTACGACAGACAGTACTAATTAAAGATTGATATATTATTAACTGTTACCTACTATCATAAAATATTAATGATCTTTGTACCATGTAAATAAACAACTTGTGAATATGTATCAGCGATAATGGTAGCTATAGCTTTTTCTGAAACTGTGTATATTTTACGAGACTAAATGAATACTACAACGGCCATTATTACCTACAAACTGAGCTTAATGTAAAACTTGTCGATTAAGGTCTATCTTTGACACCAGTTGTAAGGAATCACTGTAAAAACAGAGATAGGTCTATTAACTCGTCGAGTACCGGTTTTGCAGACACAATTATAGAACAATAGGTTGCGGTCACCGGTGACCGCTTGGTATTTGACAGTTTAAACTGTCAAACACCAAGCGGTCACCGGTGACCGCAACCTTTTGTTCTATAATTGTGTCTATAATGACGGTACTCGACGAGTTAATCCAGAGAATCTATTAATTTCGGCAGTTAGTCAACATGTGATGTATATTTAATGAGAAGACAAAATAACACTCAGTTCACGTGCCTGTTCTGCTAGGCTATTCGAAAGATCGAAGTAAGATCGCGTTCTCGCCCGTCATTGGCCGAGATTATTCTCACGACCAATGACAGAGCCCACCGCGATTCACTTCGATGTTTCGAATTGAAATTTACAAAATAAGCTAGATAATAGCACGAGTGTTAACATGGTATGAAGACTGAGATTGAATCTGTCAGAAGAAAGCTAAGACGGCTAAGAAGATCTTCGGAAAATAGTAAAAAGTCTATAACTACCTAGAATTTGGAGACTGAGATGATTTGTTCATGACCTCACTAATAAACATTAATTTTATCCTGGACCTATGTGTGCCTGCATAATTTGTTTGTAGGTATGCATTCGGGATCTCCCCGCATCAATTCATGACTCTGTTATGAAGGCATTTGTATGTTTCCATTTGACAATAGTGTCCATTTGACAATAACTTCGACATTGGTGCGTATTTTGTTTGAAAACCCGCCTTCCATCTGGCACTCACCAATACTGGAGATATATGTTTACTTACCCAATTG